TGTTATATAGTGTTGCCCATTGCTGTTACAGTATCTGTATCCTATATGTTATATAGTGTTGCCCGTTGCTGTTACATTGTCTGTATCCTATATGTTATATAGTGTTGCACATTGCTGTTACAGTGTCGGTATCCTATGTGTTATATAGTGTTGCACATTGCTGTTCCAGTGTCGGTATCCTATGTGTTATATAGTGTTGCTCATTGCTGTTACAGTGTCTGTATCTTATATGTTATATAGTGTTGCCCAATGCTGTTACAGTATCTGTATCCTATGTGTTATATAGTGGTGCCCATTGCTGTTACAGTGTCTGTATCTTATATGTTATATAGTGTTGCCCAATGCTGTTACAGTATCTGTATCCTATATAACATATAGGATACAGATACTGTAACAGCAATGGGCAACACTATGTGTTATATAGTGTTGCCCATTGCTGTTACAGTGTCTGTATCCTATGCTGCCTGTCCATCACCATGGAAGGAATATAACGACACATGTTACTTCTTTTCCAACAATCGTTATCGTCTGAATGATGCATTGTTTGTTTGTACTTCAAGGAATGCATCAATATTTGTCCCTGATGCTCAGGACGAACATGTGAGTATGTCAGGTTTTTTCCTGAGTTTGGAGTTTGGTTTGTTTGTTTGTGTTTTACGTCCTATTATCTTCTATGGTCATTTGTGGATGTGCCAGGTTTTGGGGGAGGAGGAAATCCGGAGTTTCCGGAGAAAAACCACCAACCTTATAGGGCCTGTAGTGAGTACCTGGCAACTGCCCCATGTCTAAGGCCTTGATTACCCGCAACCCAGTGGTGGAGGGCTAGTGGTAGCAGAATGTCAGACGCCTTAACCACTTGGCCACCGAGGCCCCTCCTGAGTTAGGAGTCTTATATAGTTGAATTCCAGGAATTATGCTGTAATTTCACTTAATGTTATGATTTTAACTGTTTATGAATTCACCTGGCACATTAAGTGCCCATAAGCTATATATGTTATGTCACAACATCTAGCATCAACTTTTCCTTTGATTGACTTCTTCAGAACCATAAGGCCTAGATCTAGATGTGATGAAATTTGGCATATAGTTCCTTTATTGGAGAGCTATCAGATTTGTTAACTTATAAAATATCTTTACCTTTTAAAAGGTCACAGTTAAAATAAGTAGAAAAAAAGTCATAATGTTGTCCTGTAGGTTGCTGGGATGCAGGACTACCAAGATTTTGTTCAATACCATCTTCAAGGTCACAAGGATAGATATTTTGAAAATTCAAATGACTTTGGCAGAACTAAGAAACATGTGAGCCATAATGTCTTTCCTGTAGATTTCTGTGGCAGATGGATATCGATTGATGTTAGTCAAACGACCTTGACCTACTTTCAAGGTCACAAGGCCAACCTAGAATTTAGATTTTGAAGCTTTCAATGTGTCTGACTAGGCAAAGTTTGATTTCAATTTTTACTGATAACATAAAAAGACATTCTTAACATTATCTAGAGAACATAATATACTCAACCATTTGGTCCATCAGTGTAAACCATTGACATTTTGTGGATTTTTATTTTTAGGATTTTGTGGTGACCCACATACAGAAGGGTCAGCGTATCTTATACTGGATTGGTTTACGTGTCGTTAATGCTACCTGGACATGGCTTGATGGTTCACCTTACGATGTCAACAGCACGTATGTAGATTAAGTAGTTAATTAATCCAAAAGTAGAATTTAAAGGAAACAGTTAGATGTTAGTGTACATGTTTAACACACGATTTTGAATCCTTTTCAATATTGAACAACATGTAATTATTTTATGTTGGAAACAATGAAAGAAATGAAGCTTTAATTGAATGTTAAATGGTCAATGAATTCTTTTGTTATATAAATGCCTTGTTACACTCCATTAACTGACATTCACCCCCGAAATCTCATAATGAACTATTCCAACCTCTGAATTGGAAGAGTTCAAATGTGTCTTCAGGGGTGAATGAGTTAAGCATTTTAGTAACATATTCTGAATCCTACCACGTTTTGAGATGTACAACACTTTTCATTGGTTAATAAACCATGGATTATTAGTAGATAGACCTTGCATGAGCATATAATATTTTCCAACAGACCAATGCTAAGCACAAGCGGCCTTCGTTGGTATTTTAACGTTTTCTCATCCTTGTTACATATTCTACCTAAAAATATTGCAACACATACATTGATTGTCTTAAATGTTCGCGTTTGGTCAGTTAATACTTTTACAGGATCCTATGATACGATCAGTGAAATATTTACGCATGGTACGTGTTCTGTATATTATGTACTTTGTCACCTTCATAAAATATATGACCAATAAAGCGTATGTATACTACACTGTATTAGATATAAAATATGTACAAGAAGACAATTAAATCAACAAGTGGATTCAGCTGATGTATTATAAAGCTTATGTGCATATAGGTGTTACAAATGTAGAAAATGACAATCAAATCAAAGAACTGATTTGGCTACACAATTAGCAGTCACGACATAGCAACAGTTAGGAGGGGGCGCGAGACCGGGAATTAGGGGGCGGGACACGGGAGCTAGGGGGGAGGGAACCAGGAGTTAGGGGGGCGGAAACCGGGAGTTAGGGGGCCTGGAGGTGGGATGTACGGGGGCGGGAGAATCAGTAGCATACTTAAACAAAAAGCAACCAACACGCTTATATTACGTTATTAATGTAAAAATTAGAATGTCAATGCTCCTTCCGTAAATCAATTCCGATTCGAGACATTTGGGAAAGGTGTTCGACAGAGAAGTGTTCGTGCGGACACAACAAAATACAATGCGGGGACACTTCCGCTGAATCTGTATGCGAAGGAGACAGTGTCAGGATCCACACTTAAGTTTGACGGCGACCCAGTTGAACTTATGGACAACAGTAACGTTGTCGTTACGGAACCTACACACCCAGGAAAAAAGTCTTCGTTCGACGTGGGTGACATCCTTGTTCTTGATGTGGATGGGGCTGTAAATCTTCAACTGGGTGCTGTGAAATCGCAAGTGCTGTCCTCCGCAAATGCTTACCGCCTTGGAATATATGAGGAAGACCATGACCTTATATTCGTTCAAACTAAACAAGCACACATACCATCACATTGTGTAGTAGACATACTTGCCCCATCCGACTAC